CCTTTCAGGGATATTCCTATAGCATAGACTCTTCTCCCATGAGAGTACTGAATTCCACCACTATGGAAAAGTAGTGGATTCATTGGTCCTGCCCAGTGCTCTTTTATTTGGTGAAAATACAGTAAGACCCCCATGTCTGCCATTAAATTACCTCATTTCTGGTCTAAATATATCATTAGATAACAAAGATTCCTAAAGAGGTGTCCTCTCGAGGAATTTACTAGGTCTTTCAATGCAACTCTGGGGTAGGGTCCAGGGAAATATACCCAAGAATTGCCTAGTAAATTTCTAAAGAGACCACTTTTCCCTTGGGCACAAGTAGGTAAAACAGCAATTATGGGTTCCATGGTTATGGGGGGTCTTATTGTTCCTAGCTTTTAAATATTTTTTTTGGAAACCATATGAGTGTGATGTTTTATATTAAATATTCAATTCTTTACATATCTCAGTGAAGTTAAGAGTTAATGTGCATTGGATCACCCTGCAAATGTTTAATGTGATCTATGTGGAAAGCACAAGGGTATATTCGTGGTTGGAAGGGAAATAACCAGTACTGTTCTACAAGGAACTTCAAGTAGTACATATGGACTTTCTTGAGCAATTGTCATACTTCTGTAGGGATGTTTATGCTCTAGATGTTTTCCAACATATAGCTAAAGTTAGGGAGGCAGAGGTGTAACATCATGCTTGCTTGCAGCTTTTGTAGAAAGTGAATTACAAGAGTTTCTGAAGGATAGAAGTACAAATATGGGCTTATTCATCATCTTGAAATTGAATATCACTGAGTCAACAGGATTCACCTTTCTGATCCAGGATGTGATTTGTTTTTAGGAGATCTTTAAAGGAATTATGCAGGTGAGGGGATGGAGGTGATGAGATTTATAGTATAGAAGCCTCTCAGCTTCTCATGGCAGGTTTGTGTGGGAATTCTCTTCTTATTTTTGAGTTTATTCTTTTAAGAAAGTAAAAAAACAACAACCACAAAACAAAATTGGAATGATGTCAGTAGTTTATAAACTTGGGTCAGAATAAGATATTTGTGGCAAACTAAGTGAGCAGACCTGTTGAATCAACAAGCTTTAGACAAGTTTTGACTTAGTTCCTATGAAAACTCAAATATCCTTAAGGACCCAGACCCCTGAGCAGGATCAGCCTTGAAGAGTATTGGATGAAAGACAACTAATGAGAGTACTGAATTCCACCACTATGGAAAAGGCAGGAACTGGCAAAACCACCTAAGAAAAGACTGTGAAATTCATGGGGTTGCTATAAATCAATAGATGACTTGAAGGACATGTACATGTACACACACATTGATGAAACTGATATTATTTAGTTGGGTTAATCCTTGGGTTTTGTTCTTGTTAACTGCTGTTCAGTTGATTTCAACTTTCAAGGTATTTCAAGTCACTCTATCCTCAACAGCCCTGGTCAGATCTCATGGCCATGGATTCCTAGATTAAGTTTATCCATCTGGAATTGGTCCTCTCCTTTTTTTTACCGCTTTCCGTCTTACCAAATGTCATTGCTTTTTCTACTTTAGCTGTGTCTTCCTATGATGTATCCAAAGTACAACAGTCTCAATTTGTCCATCTCAGCTTCTAGGAAGAGTTCAGGCTTCATTTTCTCTAGGACCCATTTATTTTTCCTTTTTAGTAGTCCATATCTGTAAAACTCTTCGCTAGCACCTTATTACAAACATGTTGACTTTCTTCACTGTTCAGCTTTTATAATCAGACATAGAAATTGAAACTATAACAGCAAGAACAATCCTAACTTTAGTATTCAGTGACATATCTTTACACTTGTGGATCTTATCTAATTCAGTTCAAGCTCTAGTCTTCTTTTGATTTCTTCAGTTCAGTCTCCATTCTGATAATGAGGAAACCAAGGTATGGAAAATCTTGAATTATTTCAATGTCTTCATCATCTCATTTCAAATTATGTAAATAATATGTGGTTATTCTTTTTTTTTAAAAAAAAAGCTTTGCACTTTCTTTCTTGACTTTCTTCAGTAATCTATACTATTTTCTGCAAGTAATATGGTGTCATCAGTATATCTGAATTTGTTGGTCTTCCTTTAATTTTCATGACTCTTTTCTCCATATTTAATTATGCTTTACATATGATATGTTCAGTGCACAAATTAAACATATGGGATGCTAAAATGCAGCCTTGCTTGACCTCCTTGCCAATTAGAAAGGAGTCAGTGTCTCTGTGTTCTGTCTTGTTTTAGCTCCAATGGGATTTTACAAGTTTTGCTGGGCTAATTAGTGTTTGTCATTGATGCTGCTTTTGTAGTGGAGCTTTTCAAAAGCTGATTATCCACAGTGCTTTTGTTCAGCTGGTTTGTGTTAGTTTGCTGGAACTGTTTGTTAAAATGGTTAGAAGATTCAGAGGCTGGGGAAGTTGAAAGAAGAGCCAGGAGAAGTGAAGAGGGGTAGAGGAGGAAGAGAGCAGAGAAAATTGGGAGTACTGAGAAATGAGAAGGTTGGAGAGAGGGAAGTACCAGGTCTTTTGAAGCCATTAGTGGGATGGGATTGGGAAGAGCTGAGGACAATGTCAGTTGTTATCTCTAGCCAATTGTTGCCAGGCTGTTGCACCTAAAACATGCCTGGAATCCATCCTTCTTAGTATTTCTGATATTATGAAATGTTTCCTTTGAGGGCCCTTCTACACAGGCCTTAAATTGCAGAAGGGGTGTATGGGCGGCTAAATAACATTTGCTGAAATGTGCGCTGGGTTGCATTAATGGCCAAAAAACACATGTTAAAAGGGTGCACTTTAAACCTGATTTTGACCAAATAAATGTGCATATTTGCATGACTGTATATGCTTGCACTCAAGGAAAACATGTAACTTCATTCCTATATGCTGGTGTAGACTGTTCTAGCACACGTGTACATTTTAAAATCCCAGAACAGCTGATGGGAGCCACAGACACACAGGTGGCTAAAATGAAGCATAATTGGAAAGCAGTTTCTTGAGAATTTTCTGCAACCATTCCTTTGTTCTGATGTTTATGAAATTAAACAGAGCTTGAATGTGTACAGTGAGCACCAGCATGGGAGGCAAGTGACCCCAAAGGGAAATGGGGTTTGCGAGGGAAAACGTAAAGGCAGCAGGAGGGTGAGGAGAGATAATGACAAGAAATCAGCTTGTGTGCACATTCAGATATCCCCATCAGCACTTATGAGGTCCAAATGCATCTCAGAGAGTCAATTATAAATAAATAAAAGTAAACATCTGGTGGATGTCCCCTGTCCATCTTGCAGATTTCTAAAATCCGCTATAAATGAATGTGTCAGGATGCCAGGGGAGCATTGACTGGGGCTGACAGCTCCATGTCTGGACTTGCTGACAGGTACCATGATTTTTTGCCCCACTTATTTGTCATGCATTTTGACATTGTCTGGAAGCAACCTGAGAGGCTTGTGTTTTGCTTCACATGGACCACCATGAAGATGTGGTAGCTACAGCAGAAACTTACAGAGTAGGCAGCAAGAGAAAACTGGGAAACTGGAATCTAGTAAACACTAACTTTATGGGGTCATAGTCATTTGTACACATGGTATATTTGCACCTTCAAGTCATTTCCCACTTATGGCAACTCTAAAGTGATTCTATCACAGGATTTTATAAGCATTACTCTTTGTCCTGATCTCTCTCCCATATTTTCATATTTTCTCTCTTGGTGCTTTAGAAGTTTTATTTGCTTCCCTCCTACTACTGCAGCAACCAAGAATCCCAGAACCACTCCTGCTTGAATACCCCAGTGGCAACTTGGGGCATTCATGTCAGAACCTACTCCAGGTTTAAATTTATGCCTTTAAGGAACTCTCCAAGGTGCTGAACCTTATTCCCAAACTGGTTGAGTACTTGGGATATCTTCCATAAAGTCAGCCAAAACATGGGATAGATTCACTGCTCTCTGATATGAGAGCCATCAGCTGTTCCTGCTTCAGTCTGCATAAGCTACATACAGCCATAACCTTGCTCTTCAGATTTCACAGTCTCCTTTTTAATAGCAAAGTTGAGTATTGGTGTATGATACATAATTTTACAATGAGATTATATGATCATGTACCTTACACAATGGCTATAAATATATTGTATATTGTATACTGTATATAATTCCCTGTTACAATACCTATGTATTTGTAGCTATGTGCCTTTTCCAAACAAACTACTTCTGCAAATCAGGAATTATTAAGTATATTTTTACTTTGTTAGGTCAATGAAATTTCCCTTGAGAAATGGAACTGGTATGAATGTAAATTTTTGGGATATATCTTGTAATCTAAGATATTGCTGCTGGCAAAGTTAAAAGTTCTTTCAATGCATGTGTTGTCTCATTAATGCATTCCTGCCCCCCCCCCCATGGTGTGCTGCTCATTTGTATGTGCTTATTTGATTTTGCATGTGAAAACTTAATTTTGTTCTTGCATGACAGAATGAAACGTTTTTAAAACTCTGCATGGCAAGATTATTAGAGTTTTTGTACAGTATTTCACTTTGATATGTATTTTAGAACTTTTGGGGAAATATCATGAACTGTTTTTGACATCTCAAGAGACATTTTCTTATCAAGGGCAAGAAAAATAGTAAATCCTCTATGCCTGTGCATAAAATAACAATGTCATTCTCTACCAGAAATAAAACAGGGATGCGTTGAACAAGTACAGTGATAAAGAACTCCTAGTCTTATTTGTATGATACATTTGGTTACTGTTTTTTAAAATATGCTTCACCATGTCATCCAAGTAATATAGAAATGTTATATCCCATGAGTGCTAAACATTGTGTTTATATTTCTTCCTGCTGGAATGAATAGTCCCTATTGGGCTCCTCGGAGAGAAGGTGGGCTAGAAATGTAAAGGAAGAATTAAACTTCCAATAGCAGTTGATACTGTTCATTCTAGGATAATTTCCAATATTCTTTTTACTTTGTGCACACATTTTGGTATACAGCTTAAACACACTGGACATTCTTTCTTTAGGGAAGGAGATTCAGCTCATCAATTGCCACTGCTTAAATGATGATTGGCTGATCACTCTGGGAAACCATCACCCCCAACGCTTCACTCTTGATCATTGCCATGATGAATCCCAGAATATTACTGGAGTAGGTTTAAAGTGGTTCTTTCAGCAATGTGAAGGATCTCTTAAGGTAATATCACATTTTAGAAGAGTTCTTGTTGGAAACCTTTAAGTACTAAAGATGATAGTAACATTGACCATGGGCACAGGGATAGGACTTGGAGGAATGTTCTATGGTGGCTCTGTTCCTTCCTGGAGGAATAAACCCAGAAGGTGGTGCTGGGGGACTCCTGTTCGTTATCCTGGCCATTGGCCTGTGGAGTCCCTCAGGGCTCAAGCTTGTCCCCCATGCTGTTTAACATATACATGAACCCGTTGGGAGAGGTTGTCGAGAGTTTTGGGGTGCGGTACCATTAATATGCAGATGACATCCAACTCTACTACTCCATTCCACCCCAAGCCGATAAGGTAATAAAGTAGATGAGGGCAAACAATTTGAAACTTAATTCTGACAAAATAGATGTGCTTCTCAACATATACAGGAATACTTCAGTTAGCAAAGCCTCCAACATTTAAACTCCCTTTAAAGAAGCCTTTTTACACTTGATCATCCCCGTTTCTTCTTTGTCCTCTGTTTAGTTTGAAGGTTTTTAAAATCATCTTTGATACTGGGAGTTTGTGAAAGAAAGCCAGAGAAGTATAGACTTTTTGGTGTCCGGTTGCAGCAGTGTGTTTGCAGTAGACAGTGCAATAAAGCAGGCCTAAACAACCTGTGACCTTCCAGGTGTTTTCAGCTCCCAGAATTCCTGACCACTGGACAAGATGACTAGGGCTTCTGGAAGTTGGAGTCCCAAATACCTGGAGCTCCACAGATTGTGCAGGCCTGCAATAAAGGATCTCTCTAAGATCTGAGAGCCCTAATACACTATACTAAACTCAAACTGAAATGGGTTAAAATAACCCACTTCTGCTCATGTTCCTGTTCTCATCCTCAACCCAAAACCCGGGCTTTCTCTGCAAGGGTGGTTGCATGCTAACCTGATTGAAATTGGGATAATATTAAGCCACCCCAAAGCCCCACATTTCTCCCCTAAAACTTACTGAAAAATGTCTTTGGCTGCCATGGAGCCTCTCGTCACATCCTCCTACTGGAGGGAATGATGCATGAGAGGATGGGAGGGGTGAGGAGGACAATTGTTCCGTGTCCCCCCTCCTCATGCGTCATTTCTCCAGTAAAAGCGAGACAGGTCTTGACTTAAAGGCCTGTCCAAAAGGGCCCTGGGACTTCCCATCACTTTGCAACTGATTCTTATAGATGTGTCCCCTCGGGCAGAGAGGGCAGGTTAAAAATAAAGTATTATTATAAGTTAAATTTCTATGATTGAATCTAGCACTTCTTGTATGCAGAAATTCCTTAATCTCAGAGCAATTGTTTTTCCTAAACTTAGGACAGCTAAAATACAAAACAAGGATTGCAAACAGTTTAAAAATAGGATTGACAACACTGTTATTTTAACTCACTCACTATGGTATTTTTTGTTTTTTCTTTTGCACTTAGGAATTGAACATAAGAAGCTGCAGTGGTCCTGGATTTAGAGGGGATATCATTCTGCTTCATGCAAGTACCTTTTGCCACAACCTAAGGGCTGTAGATATAAGCTGGACAGGAGCTACTGATTCAGGCCTCATTGCCCTGGTAAAAGCTTCTAGAAGGTAGAAAAATGTTTCTTCCTAATGTCATTGATCTCAGGTTGGATCTACACTGCCCTATATTTCAGGATCTGATCCCAAATTATCTGCTTATCCCAAATTATTTGACAGTGTAGACTCTGTGTCGTTCAAAGCAGATAATCTGGAATTAGATTTTGGAATATAGGGCAATACAGACCCAGTCTCATTGCTACCATGGGGACAAGTTTTCCTCCTTTGTTTTTTACCCATGATTCCCCAAGATTGATCCTAGGGTCCTCATGCATTTTGCCCACCCTTAGCTTGTGTGAGGACTTGCAGTGAAATGTTGTAGTGTGGCAAACCATCTCCTAAGATATTCTTTTCCTCCTAATATTCTCCTCTCCATGAACCCATTAGTAAGCAAATGCCACTTGCATAGTCAGTCATCATTGGGCTATTTGGAATTGTTGCACTTCTCCCTTACGGTTTTCCTCAGTACATGTGTGAGATTTTGTACTTTTTTTTTTGGAGGAGGTGTATGTCTCTAAACCTTGGTTTATATGCTTCTCACAACTTCCCTACTTTTAAAAAATCCATAGATGAACTATTGGCATTCTAAAACTTCAGCTGCCTGTTGAAAAAAATGAAATAGGATGAAGACTATGCCAATCTGTTTTGTTGCCTGATTCATGAGGACTAGTTAGAGAACATTTAAATCATTTTAGCATTAGTTAATACTGATTTTTAATAGAAATAGTAATATTGATAGAGTACAACAGAAAGATGTACATTCAAGGTGGTGTCATATTTTGTCTGGTTGCCCCTTGTCACTCCATAGATATTTTCACTGTAAGGAAATGCTGTGGATGGAATAAAATAGTATTACGAAAAGAGTGGTGTGAGGACATTTTCCTCCTGATGTGGATATTCACTTTCTAGTCAGTGTATTCTCTCTAGGAGGGAAAACACACCAGTAGGAAGACAGCCTTTGGAAGATGGGCAACTATATGAGTTGCAGAATTGCAAATTCCCTTATTTCAGACTGTACCTGCCCCCAGCAAGCTCCCATCTTCTGATGCAGTCACTCTCAAAATGGCTACAGGAATTGATACTGCATCATTTTTGTCATCATTTTGAGATTGTCTGCAGAGGAAAATTGATGGGTAGTAAGGGTTTCTGGAATGCTTGTGGGTGTGTTTTGCAGTAACTGTTTTTTTTTTAAACTGAGTAGCTGGATTGATTGATGGGGGTCTTCATGGGCCACAGAAGTGGGCTGCAGGTGCTGAATGTGGACCATAGCTGAACTTTGCCCACGCCTGAACTACAGCCATATGGGATCTTCTTTGTTTTTTTTTTACAAGAACCTGGGATTTGAAGTCAGATGAAAGATATTTGTGTGTGTGATAGAACCAAACATAAAACAAAAGTTCAAATCAGAGCCAAGTCTTTACAACTCCGTGCAAGCTGTGCATTCATTTTGAAAGTACAAATATACATCTGTCTTGCTACAGAGCAAGGTTTTTAACACAAAACTCAGGCGAAGTGAGCAGCATAGAGGACATTTTCAAGGCAGTCAGTTAATGTTCATATTTTAYGGGCAAGAGATACAGGATTGACAGAATTCTACTGGGTAGATTCTGMTTTATCTCTGTTCTGCTTCGGCATAAGTTATGTATTACGATCCATTAGATGAAGCATAAYATAAGAAGCAGGTTTAAATGAGTGAAATTCCACATTGTATTGTCGAAGGCTTTCATGGCTGTAATCACTGGGTTGTTGTAGGTTTTTCGGGCTATATGGCTATGTTCTAGAAGCATTCTCTCCTGACATTTCGCCTGCATTTATGGCAAGCATCCTCAGAGGTTGTGAGGCCACATCTTGTCATAGATGCAGGTGAAATGTCAGCAGAGRATGCTTCTAGAACATGGACATATAGGCCAAAAAACCTACAACAACCCAGGAATTCCACATTGAATGTAAGATAACTCCAGTTGCCCCATGTTTTAGTTTACAGTGTCTTTCTGCTAATGGATGCAAGCTTACAGATGATTCAGTGGCTATGTTGATCGAAGAGCATGGAAAAAGGTAATTCATATGACAACAGTATGTTGATTGTGTACTAAAAGCTGTGGTGGGACTTGAAAAGGGGCATTTCTTGAGGATCTGTGTCCCCATCTATAGTGCCATAAAATGCAATTTCAGAATGCAGTTTAACTGCATTGAACTGCATTATATGACAGTGTAGAGTCATAAAATGTAGTTAAATGCAATTAAATTGCATTCTGAACTTGAATGATATGGCATTGTAGATTGGGTGTTGAAGTAATTAATATGATGGCACTATTCCTGTGCTGATCCCCATCAAATACTTTTGAAAATACTGCTGGAACTCTGTATCCATCAGTTCTGGATACAGAGAGCCAACAGTAATTTTAAAAAATCCAAAAAGCTAAGTTTTTATATCAGACTAAGTTCTATACCTTGCTGTAGTTTCCCACAGTGCCTCAGGCTTTTTTAAACACTCATTTAAGATGTTCACCATTTTCTATAAAGAACATCACTCTACTATATTATTGTATATAATGGGACAATAAAATCTGCAGATTTTGGTCCTGGAACCAAACCTCAGAAAAAAAATAAGGGCCCGAAGCTATCATGTTTCATAACTTACTGGCTCCAACTAATCATTACACTTCCCTTTACCAAGTGGCCCATTTAGATGTCTTATATTAGCACAAGCATTCAGTCCCAGTCATGTCTCGTTATGTTTGACTTCAATTTCTCCTTGGAAATAAACATTAGATAAATTTCATGCCAAATAATCAAAGCTCAGTGTACAAGATTTGAGTCATCACTAAGATGAAAATGACTACGTTTTGGAAAGGATGTACATTAATACATCAAAATAAACTCGACAGTGCTGTATTTTTGTAGTTTTTGTACTGCATATTTGCCTAGTGATTGCTAGTTAAATATTATCTGTCTGAGGCTGGCTACCACACACCGATGTGAAGGGCAGGTGGTTGCTGAAGGCAACAGTATGTTTAGTTATTAATTTTTTAATATTAACTTTAACCCTACAATATCTAAGCTGTATGTGTACCTTCAAATCATTTGTTGACTTAATGGTGATCCCATGAACTTCATAGGGCTTTTTAAAGACAAGGAATACTCTGAGAGGTTGTTTGCCAATTACTTCCTTTGCAATATAACCTACAGGACCTGGTATTCATTGGTGATATCCCATCAGGGTACTAACTAGGACTGACCCTGTTTAACATCCTTAATCATTGAAGCACCATGCAACAGTGGGGGTTCCCACTGCACTAAAGAACACATTGTGCAGTGGGGCATATTCTGCATCAGAACAGGTGTCAGCTCCACTTATGCAATGGTCTCAGAGCATAGCTATGTCTCCTCTCTCCTCTTGATAATATAAACATTGCGCAATAGCACAATTCAACTTTATGCTATCATACGTCAGTTTGCAATGACGTAACTTCTTAGCAGGATGATATGATGGCCATGTATAAATATGTGAGGGGAAGTCATAGGGAGGAGGGAGCAAGCTTGTTTTCTGCTGCCCTGAAAACTAGGATGTGGAGCAATGGCTTCAAACTACAGGAAAGGAGATTCCACCTGAGCATTAGCGAGAACTTCCTGATTCTGATAGCTGTTCAGCAGTGGAACTCTCTGCCCTGGAGTGTGGTGGAGGCTCCTTCTTTGGAGGCTTTTAAACAGAGACTGGATGGTCATGGTCATCTGTCGGGGGTGCTTTGAAGGCGTTTTTCCTGCTTCTTGGCACGGTATTAGACTGATCTCTTCCAATTCTATGATTCTATGATGCTATCCCCATATAATTTCCTCTGAAAATTTATACATTGAGAAACTTCTGTGTTTGTTTATGTCACCATTTATAACAAACGGCAACCAGTATTTCTCAGCATATTGCTTTTTTCATCATTTCCATCAAGTTGCACAGCTCGTATTAATTCTATTATATTTGAATTATATTTTCTTATGCTGTCAGCTATTACATGCCTCATCTCCTGCTGCCTTGCTTTAAAGATCTATCCATAAGAAGTTTAAATACTTCTGAGAGATAATGGGAGCTTTCCTCCAGTGCAAGAGCAGGTTTAGGTGAGTGATTTTTTTGTCAAGGACACACCACATGAAAAAAAAAGAGAGTTAAGTTTCCCCTTAACACCTGCAATGATGTTAATCATTATAATTCTTTTTTTGTACATTTAAAACAACATTTATAACATGTATTTATTTATTTACTACATTTATATTGTCATCTTTCTCCCAGAATGGTACTCATTACAGCTCACAAACAATAAACCAAAATTGACTAAATACATCATAATAACATTAAACACATGTTTTTCATGTCAGAAGCTTGAGAAACTGCAAGTCGCTTCTGATGTGAGAGAATTGGCCATCTGCAAGGATTTTGCCCAGGAGACACCCAGATTATTGAAGTTTTACCATCCTGTTGGAGGCTTCTCTCATGTCCCTGCATTTGAAGCTAGAGCTTGACAGATGGGAGTTTTCCCCTCTCCCTGGCTTTGAATCGCTCGCACTTAAGACCTGGCTTTTTACTAGAGCATTCGATCTCTGCTAATTTTTAATTTTTGTGTGTATGTATTTTATCTTTTATAATTTAGCTGTAAATCGTCTAGAGCATTCTCAGATGGTGGGCAATTAATAAGTTATTAAATGATGATGATGATGATGATGATGATGATGATGATGATGATGATGAACCGCCAACTTGTTGGTCAACCAGACCTGCCTGCACAAGGGTTTAACCCATTGTGCCACTGGGGACTCCATTAAACACAATTACAATGTTAACATATAAAAATGATAAATTAAACAATATACACTCATTAAAAACATACAAAAGTGAAAAGTAAAGTATCCTCCCAATCCCATAAGATGGCTCTCTGCAAAGAATTAGTCATTAAAAATATGCTTAAATAAGAGGGTCCTTGCCTGTTGGCAAAAGGAAACCAAGGAGGGGGCCAACAGTGGTTTCTGTATTCCAGAGATATGTTTCATCTATCAGCTTTACTTTATTGTGCAATTTAAGCCTAACTTATTCACTTGCCTAAAGTCAACAGGCAACATGAATGTGCATACACAAACACCATGAATAGTCTGATGGCTTCCTGCTGTGCAGTTGTGTTTTTGTGTCATAGCATTCAATTACTGGCAGAATTTAGTTGACAAGCGGGTGGGAGAGGTCATTCTCCTGTTTTCCATCTCATTTATGGAATGTAGACTTGTAGAATGGAGGTGATGGTGTGCCTATAGAATATGATCATTTACATTGTTTTGATGGTTATTGATCAATCAGTGCAATGATTTTTACTGGTTTTATTGTTACCACTTGTTTTTAGTGATGTTCGAAGAGGTTTTTTTTTTGTAAGGGGGTAAACATATATAGAGGATCATAGAATATGGTGAATCATAGAATCAAGCAATCTGTTTTTAGGGACTGTATTGCCTCTTTCCTCATTGCTATACCTTGTTCCAGATCCACCAGGACACCAATCAATACTGAAATGCTTTAGAGGTAGACAGAAACCTAGAAGATCCCTCTATCATAGGGGAGGGAACTCCAGTTTTCATTGAACTGCAGCTCCTATCAGCCATAGCCATCCTAACCAATGCTGAGGAATGTGAGGAGCTGAAATTTAATATCGTATGGAATGATGCGCAATTTCACTCTAGCATCTGTTTTATATTAATATAACCTGGAAAACACAAGAAAGGCCATCCACTTATATCTCCATACCAAAAAAGGGAAATGCTAAAGAATGCTCAGACTTTCACACAGTGGCACTTATTTCACATGTCAGTAAGGTAATGATCAAGATCCTGCAAGACTCCAGCAATACATAGAGAGAGAGTTGCCAGATGTACAAGCGGGTTTTAGAAAAGGCAGAGGAACGCGAGACCCAGTTGCCAATATCCACTGGATAATGGAGGAAGGTATGGAGTTTCAGAAAAACATCTATTTCTGTTTTATTGACTACTAGCCATTCCCTTGCCATGCATTGCTGTGGCCCAGTTTGTATATATGTGTTTTGAATATATGTGTATATATGTGTGTATGTGTGTGTATATATTTGTATATATGTTGTTTTGCGCATGCTTTGTAATGTATTTTTATTTTTTGGCTTTTAAAGTCCCTTCCGCTGTGTCAATTCATCCAGTGGTTTTTGAGTTATGATAATCCCACAAACAAACATTACATTTTTATTTATATAGATTCTAAAGCCATTGACTGTGTGGATCATAATACATTGTGGCAAGTTCTTGGTGGTCTGGGGATACTAAGTCATCTTGTCTGTCTCCCGAGGAATCTGTATAATGACCAAATAGCAACAGTGAGACAGACCATGGAACAACAGACTGGTTCAAGATTGGGAAAGGAGTACAGCAGGGCTGTATACTCTCACCCTACCTATTCAACTTGAATGCAGAACCCATCATGTGAAATACGGGCCTGAGGAATCCAAGGCTGGAGTTAAAATTTCTGAATAAAACATTAACAACCTTAGATATGGAGATGATACCACTTTGATGGCTGAAAGAGAGGAGGACCTGATGAGTCTTATAACCGCCCTGAGTTGCCCTCGGGCTGAGAATGGCGGTATAGAAATATTGTAAATAGTAAATAAATAAATAACCAAGGTGAAAAAAGTGCAAAAACTGGGTTGCAGTTAAACATTAAAAAAACCCCAAAATTATGGCAACCAGACTAATTGATAACAGGCAAATAGAGGGAGAAAACGTGGAGGCAGCGACAGACTATATATTTCTAGGAGTGAAGATTATTGCAGCCAGGAAATCAGAAGACTTTTATTTCTTGGGAGGAGAACAATGAACAATCTCAATAAAATAGTGAAGAATAGAGATATCGCACTGGCAACAAAGATCCACATAGTTAGAGCAGTGGTATTCCCTGTAGTAACCTATGGATGCGAGAGCTGTACCACAAAGAAGGCTGAGCAAAGGAAGATAGATGCTTTTGATTCTACACTTGATCTTAGCCAAAAGGCTGAGAAGCTTCTGAACTGAGGTGCTGAAGGAAAATTCTAAGAGTGCCTTGGATCACAAGAAGATTAAACCAGTCCATACTCCAGGAAACTAAGGCCAGCTGCTCACTGGAGGGAAGGATATTAGAGGCAAAGATGAATTACTTTGTCCATATAATGAGAAGACAGGAAAACTTGGAGAAGATAATGGAAGGAAAATGGAAGAGGGGCTGACCAAGGGCAAGATGGACGGATGTTATCCTTGAAGTGACTGGGTTGACCTTGAAGGAGCTTGGGATAGCCACAGCCGACAGGGAGCTCTGGTGTGGGCTGGTCCATGAGGTCATGAAGTGTTGGAAGTGACTGAATGAATAAACAACAACAATACCTCATCTGCCATCGATGTGCACCTGCTTTCAGATTGCTGTGACTATAAAGCTGGATGAGAGCAAGACTGAAATGTGTTCCTTATCTCAATTAAAAACCCACCCAAAATGTTCTCCAACCTTGTTTGTCTCTTTCCTAGTCATAATTATATTTCACCGGTACTGCCTTTATTATAAAATTCTGGAGCATGATGGAGTGCGACGATTCTTCCCGCTGATGTGTTTACCCATGACAGATGCACTTTAATGATATAGCATACTCCAGCTGAGTGCAATAAAAACACAAAATGAATTTGCATAGCAGCACAGAGTACAAATCAGGCTGCTGAAGCATCTGTGATAATGCAGGGAACTGTAACTGAGCAATTCAAGAACAGGAGCTATGAAGGAACAATATGGACAGGATCTACTAATAAATATGCCAGAGTCTAGACCACTTCATTTATTGCCTGCAGAAGACCTAGTTTTGTCCTTTGTGTTTGACAATACAAATGGTTTTAACTTTCTAAGCAGGGTATTCTACAGTATTCTTCCTTTAGAAAATTAACTAGTACCTTCTTTCCATCTAGTTTTAAATAATATCATGAATTTGGCACTCAGATGACTGGAAGGTGATAACAGATTCCTAGACAGAATTTAAATAAATTGATAGGTAGCAATGACTTTTGATTCCTGAGCCTAAGAGAGAAGAGTGGAAAGACATGCCTGGTTCAGTATTTTAGAATGTTGGGCATCTGAATGTTGGGTACTTGAGCACTTTTTGGCAGAAACATAAGTATTAATTGTGTCGAACGTTTTAATTAAATGTTTGAAATAAAGTCTCTTCCTGTCGATTTGAAGGGCTATGTGCAATTGTATGAAATAGTTTGGACTTACCTAGCATCATAAAAGTCTTCGCCAGTTGTTTATCTTAGTGTGGAAACTAGCTCATTTTAGAGTCCACCATTTAAATATACGATTACTATAGAGCATTTAAACTATTAAATAATTACTATTTTCATACTGGATTCCTCCCCCCCCCCCAGATTTTATAATACCCATGTTTGCAAATACCTACATAGGGTCAATCCAAGCGGGCATATAAACCGAGACCTGTCTCGGTGAAACTGAATTAATTCAGAACAAAGCAGAATTTACCTGTTTTGTTACAAATTAATTAAATACCCCATTAGATCTGGGCCTTCCTGAAAGGCCCGGGTCTAATGGGGTATTGGGTCAGTGGGGACTCACCACTGGGTAGTTCCAGGACCAACCGGAACTACCTGGAGGTGAGTCCCCATTTGCCAACCTCCTGGAGCCCATAGGTGCAGAGTGACACCCAGCCCCTCCCCTTAGGCCCCCTCATAACAAGTATTAAAATTAAAAGAAACTTAGCGGACCACCATTAAGGTGGCTCTTCAATCCTCCTGGAGTGTAGGGGGGGGGGGGTTGGGGGTTCCCTCCTCGCCCCCTCCTGGCACATCAAGTATTGTTTTGGGGTGCTTTGGGATGGCTGGAGGCCATTTCAGTAGTTATCAGGATGGCATTTAGAAACCCCCTCCCCAACCGGGAAAGCCCATTTTTTGAGGGGTGGGGTGGGATTTTGCCACTGTCTGGAAGCACCCATAATGAGCTATCTTGGAGATGGGACCCAAATCTAAACACAAAACATTTATATTTCTTATGCACCTTATGTTCTTATGTTTCAAGCACAGTATTATTAATAATGTTATGCAGAAAATAAAGTTTGCATATACTGAAGCATCAAAAGGCAAAGTTGTCACTACCTGTTGAAGCATTTTGGATTTTGGCATTCCAGGGAAGGGATAACTACCCAGTATAAAATTTTGTGTTATTACCCCGCTATGTCATTTATGTTTTGTTTTTCTTTAATATTTTGGACAGCTTTACACTGAAATGGTTTTATTGAATATTGAGCTGCTGATGTTAGAAGAGATTGCAAATTTACTTGACTATATTGTTTTATCTTTCTTCAGACTTAAGAAACTTGAAATATTTGGCTGCCATGCTGTTACTGCCAAATGCCTGAGTTGTGTTGCTGTGAGGTGTCCTAACCTAAAGGTCCTGAATATTGGCAGAGTTCCCAAGATTACTGAGGACTGTTTGGCAAAAATAGTAAATTGCATGGAAAAACTAACTAGTCTGAACTGTACAGGGCTCAATGTGGTAAGGAAAGATTTCCCTGTTCTCACCTAATTTCAACTGTTGTTTCTATCTTTCAAGCTGCAGCAATTTTCTCCAATACATTGTTTTTCTACTGCACATAGTTAGAAATCTAAATTAAAGGTGGAAAATTCTTTTAGACTAAGATCCAAATTCAATTTCAGATAATTTCTTGATGCTGTTCTCCATTAATGAATTGGATCAAAAGCAAAAAAGTGGTACCAAGAATGCAGGATAAAGACCTTATTGGAAGTAACTAAATTTCAGAAGAAACGTCTCATCCTTTAAGAATGGGAAATATAAAAGCCCAGAAGACTACTGAAGAATGATAACATGAGGAAAAAGTGTGGACACAAATTTGATCCTAATGTTTCCCCAACAAAATCAAAGTTAATTTCAGCACAGTTATGTTGCTTAATAACAACAGAACATTGTTTACATTTGGCATATTCACCTTGTTTATATACATATGGAGAATATTATGTAAATTCTAGTTAACTAAAATGCAAAGTAGGATTGCTGATGAAGTTGCAGGTATGACAGGGTTTGCTCTGTAAGTAATTGTAAAGCAAAGGTCATTCTAGTATGCTTTCTGCTTCCAGTGATTATGTCAAAAATGAGACAGAACACTACCAATTTATATAAAAACTATATAATAGACTGCATTCAAAGTAGTTTTTATATGTGACATTTGGCTAATTAAACTCGTTTGTTTTGTGAACAGATGGTTTTTAATTACAAAGAAGGACAATGTTGAAACCACTGGAAAATTCTGTCTTTTCTCCTATATAAGGTTGTTTTCTAAGACTGTAGGTTACTATGTTTATAGCTGCCAACTGGCCAGTCTCTGCATTCTTTGGAAAACATTTCTGATATACATCCCTTTCTCTTCCATTTAATTTTGGGGTGTGTGTGCAGAGACATATGTATGTTTTTACCCTCTTTCCCCTTCCCTTCTGCTCCCTCACCCATATTGTGCTTCAGTAGTTATATTTATATTTTTAATGTACCACACATACCAAGTTTGTATGAAAATGTGACTATTTCCTGTGCTGGTCAATGACCGAAATAAATGATTTGATTTGATTTGAGAGACATATATCTTAACAGTGGAAATATGTGTATAATGTTTCAGAGCTACAAGGGACTAGGAGAAAGGGAAAGAAAGAAAGATCTGTACTGGGCTTGATGTTATGGGTTTTCTGAAGTACCCAGCAACTGCAGGATGATACTTAGTGGAGGGGGATGTTAAGCACAATACTTTTTTGCTGGCATACTATACATGAAGTACCTTACATTGTATAATGCTGTGCTCCCTTTAAGTTTTCCCTTTCCTTAAACAAAAAGTATTTTGTGGTTACATGGTCATTCCAGGAACTACTTCTGGACTGTGATGCATTTCAACCAGCATGAATCTCATTCTGGTTGAAATGTGTAGAAGCAATTTTACAATAAATAACTCTGCAAAAGTATTTACATAAGAAGATAAATGCAATGCTTATTCACCTCACTCTGAGAATTTTCTCCAAAACTCTACCCCTTCTCCGTCTTTTTCAGATCTGTCTTTGTTTTGTCACCATCCCAGGTATAATAAGATTATTATAAATTGAAATAAGATGAGATTCAGGTAAAAATGCTGTTCTTTCCCAGTCTAGGTCTCTTCTACACAGCACCTAAAATGCGGAAGTTACCGGGTTAAAAGTGGGGGGTGGGTTGTGGCATCGGCTATGATGCTAGTGCTAAATCCACGCTCATTTACATTAACAGAGAAAAAACACATGGTAAAAAGTCCCCTTACATCCTGATTTTGGCCAGAAAATGTGCATATTCACATGATTGTACAACCCTGCAATCATGCGATTTCTTTCCTTTCACGCGATTTCTTTCCTTTCCTCCCCCTTGTAGAGACTGCTCCAGCGCAAGTCTGCTTTTAACAGCCTGAAACAGCTGATCAGCTGATTGGGCTGTGAAACACAAAGAAAGAAAAGCACAAACAGAGAGCACTTAGAACTCTCTGAAACTCTTTCTTTCACAGTTTATAATATTAAACAGAGCTTGCATTAAAAATGGGGAAAGAGAGATAAGAAATGTGCTTGTGTGTACATGCAGATATTTTCATGTGTGCACACAAGGTTCAGTGCATAATAGTGATTTAAAAAACCAACCTTCCGTTGGATGTCCCCCATCTGCCCCCCATTTTGTTCCGATACAGAGGAAGCCTGTGAGGATGGCAGGGGACCCAGTCCCAGGACTAACAGGTCTATGTGGGACTTGCAGTCAGGTTCCAGGATTTTTACCCCCCATTTTAATCCCGGATTTTGGTGCTGTCTGGAAGCACCCTCAGTCGAGTTTCAGAATGCAGATTAACTGCATTGAACTGGATTATATGACAATGTAGACTATATAATCCAGTTCAGTATGGTTCAATCTGCATTATATGAGTCTACACTCACCATTATAATGAAGACCAGTGAAAACTGCAGTGTTGACCCTGAATAATTGTGCTTGTCTATCTGTGCACATTGCTGAATGTTGTATTAGATAATTCTTCTGTCTGTTTAGTGGATACGTGGGCATTTTAAAAATAAAATGTAACTCCTAGTTTGTAAGCAGAAGGCAAGAAAAAAGGAAAGCGAAGTTTTGATTGAACCGTTTGGCACACATAAGGGAACACACACATTTCAAAGAGAGCTAAACATTTTATTAACATAAAATCAGCTGACCTTGTGTGAAGAAACAGGAAGTACTGGATGCCACAGAACATGTTTGTTTATTTATGCCTTGTCTAGTTCAGATTCATAAGGAAATGTAAAAGTGATTCTTTTGATTCTGATTTTAATTATATCTGATTAAAAACAAATATCTTACATTCAGCCACATCTCCATTATTAATAAGGAGAAGTACTTTTGAACTGGATTAAGTGTGAAGCCAACACAATGTGAGTCCTAATAACAGATATACTTTACTTTGAGCTCTTCTTAAGTTCTTATGGGAGTTGCCATGCTCACAAGAGAAAGACATTGTACTCACACCCACAGGTTTAGAACCCTTTAATATATGATCTTCCAGATGTTTTTGAACTGCTGATCCCTCATCCATCACCACTGCTATGCAACTGATGGGAGTTGCAACACAGCAACATTTGGAGGTATTCTTCAACTCAGTTTAAATCATACATAACTATAGGAAGAAGCCCAAGAGACAGTATACAGCTGTGACTGTGTTGTTGAACAAGGACTCTGAAATAAAGGGTTCATATCCCAATATGGTCACAAAAACCCAATGTGTGATCTTGGACAAGCCACACTCTCTCAGACAACGGCAGTGGCAAATCTCCCCTAGACAAATCTTGCCAAGAAATCCCTGTGATATGTCTTAGAATTGCTCTAAGTTAGAAACGTCTTGAAGGCTACATAAGATCAACAATATGAAGAAGTGACATTTTTCAATAGGCTGAAGTGATAGCCAAGTTTAACATGTGTAAGATGACATGACATTTCTTGGGTCCCTTTTGTGCAATGCCTTTTGAAGGAAATTCATCCAAATGATCATATTTCCTGATTGTCTTTTCTGCTTGGTTGCAGGTGAGGGATCATTTGGTCCATTTTATTGTGAAAAAATGTCCTGAATTGGAATGCCTCATTCTCCATTCTTGCTGTCAAGTAACTGACAGCAGCCTGGTGGAAATTAGCACTCATTTACCTTTAATCAGGTGTGTTTCGTGATGTTTCTGAAACATTGCTGCTATTTATAATAATTTAAGGTGGTCACACTCAGTGACTTCATTTGGGCCAGAAGCATGATTAATGGTTCTTTGTGAAAAAGAATGGTCCAGAGGCACATGAGAGGGGACTTTAAGCAAAGACTGGCTGGCCATCTATCAGGGGTGCTTTGGATGTGATTTTCCTGCATCTTGGCAGGGGATTGGACTGGATGGCCCACAAGGTCTCTTCCAACTCTAGGATTCTATGATTCTTTAAGTCAGTGTTTCTCAACCTGGGGGTTGGGACCCCTGGGGGTTCACGAGGCGTTATCAGAGGGGTTGTCAAAAACCATCAGAAAACACGTGTTTTCTGTTGGTCATGGGAGAACTGTGTGCCAAGTTTGGGTCAATTCCATCATTGGTGGGGTTCAGAATGCTCTTTGATTGTAGGTGAACTATAAATTCCAGCAGCTACAACTCCCAAATGACAAAATCATTTTTTTGTTTGATGATCAGGGAAAATACACAGACCAGTTAGATATGATCTCACTAACATTCCTAGCGAATATACAGTGGAAGTGAAGAACAGATTTGAAGGACTAGATTTAGTAAACAGAGTCCCAGAAGAACTATGGACAGAAGTCCGCGACATTGTTCAGGAGACAGCAACAAAGTACGTTCCAAAGAAAAAGAAAACCAAGAAGGCAAAATGGTTGTCTGCTGAGACACTGGAAGTAGCCCAAGAAAGGAGGAAAGCAAAAGGAAACAGTGATAAGGGGAGATATGCCCAGTTAAATGCGCAATTCCAGAGGTTAGCCAGAAGAGATAAGGAACTATTTTTAAACAAGCAATGCATGGAAGTGGAAGGAGACAACAGAATAGGAAGAACACGAGACCTCTTCCAGAAAATTAGAAACATTGGAGGTAAATTTCAGGCAAAAATTGGTATGATAAGAAACAAAGATGGCAGGGACCTAACAGAAGCTGAAGAGATCAAGAGAAGGTGGCGAGACTATACAGAAGATCTGTATAGGAAGGATAATAATATTGAGGATAGTTTTGACGGTGTAGTGAATGAATTAGAACCAGACATCCTGAGGAGTGAGGTTGAATGGGCCTTAAGAAGCATTGCTAACAACAAGGCAGCAGGAGATGACGGGATCCCAGCTGAACTGTTTAAAATCTTAAAAGATGATGCTGTCAATGTGATTATATTGCCAGCAAATATGGAAAACACAAGAATGGCCATCAGACTGGAAAAAATCAACTTATTTCCCCATACCAAAAAAGGGAAGCTAAAGACTGCTCAAACTTTTGTACAGTGGCCCTTATTTCTCATGCCAGTAAGGTAATGCTCAAGATCCTGCAAGGAAGACTCCAGCAATACATGGAGCGAGAGTTGCCAGATGTTCAAGCTGGGTTTGAAAAGGCAGAGGAACGAGAGACCAGATTGCCAATATCCGCTGGATAATGGAGAAAGGCAGGGAGTTTCAGAAAAACATCTACTTCTGCTTCATTGACTATTCTAAAGCCTTTGACTGTGTGGATCATAATAAATTGTGGCAAGTTCTTGGTGGGATGGGCATACCAAGCCACCTTGTCTCTCTCCTGAGGAATCTGTACAAGGACCAAGTAGCAACAGTAAGAACTGACCATGGAACAACAGACTGGTTCAAGATTGGGGAAGGCGTACGGCAGGGTTGTATACTCTCACCCAACCTTTTTAACTTGTATGCAGAACACATCATGCGATGTGCGGGGCTTGATGAATGCAAAGCTGGGGTGAAAATTGCTGGAAGAAACATTAACAACCTCAGATATGCAGATGACACCACTCTGATGCCCGAAAGCGAGGAGGAGCTGAGGAGCCTTCTAATCAAGGTGAAAGAAGAAAGCGCAAAAGCCGGGTTGCAGCTAAACGTCAAAAAAACCAAGATTATGGCAACAAGAATGATTGACAACTGGAAAATAGAGGGAGAAACCGTGGAGGCCGTGACAGACTTTGTATTTCTAGGTGCAAAGATTACTGCAGATGCAGACTGTGGCCAGGAAATCAGAAGACGCTTACTTCTTGGGAGGAGAGCAATGTCCAGTCTCGATAAAATAGTAAAGAGTAGAGACATCAGACTGGCAACAAAGATCCGCCTAGTCAAAGCCATGGTATTCCCTGTAGTAACCTACGGATGTGAGAGCTGGACCTTAGGGAAGGCTGAACGAAGGAAGATCGATGCTTTTGAGCTGTGGTGTTGGAGGAAAGTTCTGAGAGTGCCTTGGACTGCGAGAAGATCCAACCAGTCCATCCTCCAGGAAATAAAGCCCGACTGCTCACTGGAGGGAAAGATACTAGAGACAAAGTTGAAGTACTTTGGCACATCATGAGGAGACAGGAAAGCCTAGAGAAGACAATTATGCTGGGGAAAGTGGAAGGCAAAAGGAAGAGGGGCCGACCAAGGGCAAGATGGATGGATGGCATCCTTGAAGTGACTGGACTGACCTTGAGGGAGCTGGGGGTGGTAACGGCCGACAGGGAGCTCTGGCGTGGGCTGGTCCATGAGGTCACGAAGAGTCGGAGACGACTGAACGAATGAACAACAACAACAACAATCATTCCTTGGGTTAGAAGGTGTATTGTGTCCAAATTCAGTGGCAATTCACCCAGTGGTTTTTGAGTTATGTTAATCCCACAAACGAACATTACATTTTTATTTATATAGATGTGGAAGGGGCCTCCAGTGGCTTTTGGGGTCTCTTCCAGTTCTGTGATTCTGTGAGCCCTACATACCAACCTGGAAATTTTTACATCCCTCTCCCATGGGTAACACAAGTATGTATTATGGCAACATATGCTATCTTAAAATTCAGGACAGTGGTTATATTGTTTCTTTGGTAACACAGGTTCCTCCGCTTTTTAATATTTTGTTATTTTTGATCTTTCCCTGCCTTCTTTATTTGGAAGCAATGGGATTCTATTTGATATTAGTCACAATTATGGCTGTTGACATCATAAGCAGAAGTGCCCACTGGGGGAAACAGAGAGCATGATTTTGTGATCCATTCCCTGAGCTCTGTTTAAGAGCTCAGGAAACACAGACATGGCATAGATTGCAGTTTTGTTTATCATGTGACTGTAAAGACTTCATATAATCTAACATGTTTCCACTTAATACATGTCAAATATTTATTTATTTGATTGATATACCTGGATTCTCTGTTTTGATTCCTGCAGGTACCTTGATGTTAGTGGCTGTGAAAAAGTGACTGACGCCGGAGTTCAAGCTTTGGCAAGGAAGTGTCATAGGATTTCTTACCTTGATTTGAGTTCCACAGCAACAAGCAAGAGAGGGTAAAATGTTTGAGACTGTTTCACACTTATGCCTCTGTAATACAAGTAAAGTCTGACTTTCAAGGTGTGTTTTGTATAAACTACATTGTTACTGCAAGCAATAACACGTGTCTATTAAATAACAGAGTGCAGCCATATACCTTCCAATTCTATGATTCTATCATCTCTAGTCTAAAAACAGTCCTGGAGTGTCTGTCGTGAGCATCTCCTCCGCTTGACTCCTGGATTGTCATGAACTTTTCAGTAAAACTAACCCAGAATATAGTCTGCTCTGGCTGGAAAATGTCCGGGTCACATAACAAAAATGGTACTACTCTGTGAATCTTACTAAATGCTATTTTAAGATTTGCTGGTGAATCAATTGCTTCTAAATCCTAGGTGATTTAAAAAGCAAGTCTATTCTATTATTATTTTTTTTAAAAAAATCTGGAGTTCCTTTTAGATGGCATGCCCCATTGCACTGACAGAGACCTTTATAGAGCTGTTGTCATGCATTAATAGCATTTTTAATTAGCAAAGTATCTATATGCTAAAAGAAAGTAGGTTTCCGCCCCCCTGCTGGAGTCAGTCAGTGTGCGTCAGTAGTAGGTACAAAGCTCTTGTTGGCAGTCCCTGTAATGACGGAGCTCCCTTTTCATCTCACAGCTGGATCTTTTCAAGAGCTGAGGGTCTGCTAATTAAGATGAAAAGTAAAGAGGTGACAAAAGAGCTTTTTTCCCCACTACATTTTAAATTTCCCTTCCTGAGTTGCAGAACATTAAGACTGTGTTGCCTAGGTAGCAGTGGAGCTCCATAATTGTGAGGTTTTATGTTCCTTAAATACAACCATGTTGCTCTGGACTGTCTGGGTTTCATCTGTCTGGTCTGGTCCATTTCCTTCTTGATTCCATTATGTTCAACTGCATCTCATGGGGCTATTTTTCTTTTAAGAGCCCATTGGACTTAAGTGCTACTGTACCAGAACATGTCCTTGTAGTTATTTAGTTAGACAATGCAGCTTATATAAATTACCACAATAATTTTGATGGATTTTCTTGATTTGCATTGCCTCTGCACTCACTGACTGCAAGGAGATCAGTATCTTGTACATTCTTGGAAAAGCTTGCATTGGAATATGGACTACAATGTAGCCTTCAGAATATGAAGAAGCACAAATTCAGTTCGCTGAACATGTAATCCAATGTTCTGCTACAGCACACAGGGGATACATGATTTTTTTTGCCATAATTTTTCGCTCCAATCAGGCTATTCAAGGCCTGGGATAGGCTGATTTTAAACTAAGACAAAAAGCAGAAATCAACTTCCTTTAGTGGTTCATTCGCAGGAGGGTGGGTTTTTTTCTGGTGCTAAGCCAAAACATGGATTTTTCTTAAAGCTTTTGGGGACTATTTTCCCCCCAAAGTATACATGCATATGGTTTAAAATCCTTGAAGTTTTTAAAGTGTTTTTAAACTTGGTTATGTTAAGACTGATTTTTATCTTGCATAAATTAATTATGCTTTTAATATGGAATTTTCCAGCATGTCCAGCAGTTGATAGTGGTTAGAATGCCTAGCAGTTGGTGGTGGTGGTTAGTATACAGAAGGTTTGGCAGGATCATGACCTGCATGGTGGTGATGCTTTAGAAGGTATAGACAGGGTTAGTCTTTCTCCTAGTTCTAAAGGACAGAGGTTTTTTTGTCAGGAGGGACTTGAGAAACTGCAAGGGCAGAGTAATCTGTAGGTAAGAATGTAAAGGCGGTAGCAATTAAGGGCAGAAACCTTCAAGAGAGAGGATTCAGCTGTGATAAGATGCATAAAAAGAGCCTAGCAGAGACTGCTCTTTGGAAGAAAAATATTTGTCATGCTTGGCCATGGATATTGGTAGTGCTTCCCTTGGGTTGGTGTATTATGGTGTCAAGACCCGTGTCATGAACTCTTGTGAGTCTTGTACTGTGTGGAACCTTGAACCAAGAGGATTATTGTGTTGGTGAATCTCTTTGTGTCCGTACCCTGCTGTTGACCTTGATGAATTGCGAACCCTTGGAATGACCCTCGACTACTGTGTTTGGACTACTCTTGAACTTTGGCTTCTCTGGGGGCCCTTCCACACAGCCATATAACCCAGAATATCAAGGCAGAATGAATTGAGTTATCTCAGTCCACACTGCCATATATGCCAGTTCAGAGCAGGTAATGTGGGATTTTATTCATCTGTGTGGAAGGGGCCTGGCTTGACCAAAGGAAAGATGACTATGTTTTAGACTCTTGCTCCTTGGACATTTATTATTGACTCTTGGCGTTTGTAGTATGCTCCTTGATATAAGTATTTGCTTTATATTATTTGGTGATGATGTATCTTTATGTTTTGAAGTGGGACCTTAAAATGGTGAGAGTGTTTAAGTTAATGTTTCAAATAAAATAGCTTAGACACAGGCCTATTGTTGTTTGGTTAATTTTTGTCGCATATCAGCAGAGCCCTGGATCCTGACAGATTGTTTTAAATTGTTTGCATTGTATTCTCCCTGAAGATTATGTGCATAACATCACCACCACTAACAACAGTATTTATTTATATCCCACTTCTTAAAACAAATCAAAAGAATCTACCTACAAAATAAAAAGTGATGAAATTATTGAAAAAATAAGATTAATTAAGCATAAACGATTAAAAAGTCAGGGGATGATAAAAAGTACTTTAATATTTTTTTTCTAATTCCTTCTTTAAATGTTAAGAAGACTTTTTTTTTCACCACAAATCTATCACAGTAGAGACTAATGATCTGCAGGATTTCTTTTGTTCCACTCATTCAAAAAGTTTGTGCACACAGGCACTGCAAAGGCATTGAAAAACATTGATCTGTGAAGTTTATTCTCCAGCTGCTTTAATGCTTACAGCATTTGCTACAAAGACTTCTGATCTTTTTCTTAAAAGAAAACAATATATATATATCTAATCCACCCATTGTTAACTTGCTATTCACTCTACACTTATAAGGAAGGACATCATGAAGTTGAAAATCTGGTTCACTGTACGTGTGCTAAGTAATAACTAACTGCTTTATTCATTGTGGTTTAGCCTCATTGTTTTTGCTGGTCATGCATAGTTGACTAGTGCTGAATATCCCGAAGAATAACTGAAAGTTCAAATCAGATACATGTATCTTGAGAGTGTATGTATTCGTTATTTATATGTCATTCATTTATATTTGTGATAGGTTTCATTTTAATATAAGATAAAAAATGGCCTCTTTTTTTATGGAGGGTACTCTGTCCAGGCTGTACTCAGATCTAGAACTGTTCCTGGCTAAGATGTGAGCCCATCTAAAAAAAAAAAAAAGCAGAAACCTATCAAAGACTGCAGTGTTGCCTATATGTTGCCTATTGGCTATGAGCTCCATAGTAATGATGGGAATTGTGTACTCTACTAAATTGGACTGTGATTGTAAGTTTGCCATTCAGCAACATCTAGAACTCATCTGCACAACCTGTGGCTTTCCAGGTTTTTAGGATTCCAACTCTCAGAAGCCCTAGCCAGCTTGTCCAATGGTGAGGAATGCTGGGAGCTGAAGCCCAAAACACCTGGATAGCCACAGGTAGTCCAGGATCTAGAAGAATACACAATTTCCACATCCTCTGTGTATGTGGTGACAGATCTGAAGTAACCACAGTACTTAACATGTGTGTATATGTGCATGGGGGGGGGGGGGATTCATTGGAATGTCATCCAGTCTTGTGCCTTTCAGGAAAAAAATGAAATAGCTTAAATGTAACATAAATCCATTCTGAGAAGTAGTTTCTAAGAGTAAATCCTCTCATAATACCAGAATCTAATTGGCATCTTGTTTTATGGGTTTCAGAGTTTGTTTATTGGCTAGTTTCTGCTTCCAGACGTTGGAATGTGTGAAGCTTAGTTTCTGCAAGAATATCTCCTTGAATGCAGTTGGAAAATTATGCAGAAATTGTAGAAGGTGAGTGTGATTGGCACACTATAAAATAGTCTAACAATTAAGTCAATATAAAATGGAAAACTTAAACGTTTCATTGACAAATCATAAGGAAAGTCCTATTGGTTTAGCATTAAGGAATGTTGAGTTCACAAAAAACGATTGACAGGATTTTCAAGGCTTATAAAGTTTCATGTGCTGTGAAGAAAGAAAATGGGAGAATTTGTTTTCCTTTGTCTTCTACATTAATGAAACTCGGGTTGTGCCAGTAGGTTATTGGCAGCCAAAAGAAAAGCACTTCTTAATTCACTTAGGCCCATTCTGAAATTCTGGCCCAAACACTAATTTTGCATGAAAGAATAGGGTAAAATTGATTTTTGATGTATATGTGTTGTTTTGATAATGTTATGCTTATGTTTTGCTTACTCTGTATGTTTTGGTGTTTTGTTACATGGAAACCGCCCTGAGTCCCCTAGGGGAGATAGAGCAGTATATAAATAAAATATTGTGTTTGTTGTTATTATTATTATTATTTGAAACACAACAAGATGAGTTAACAGCAGACACTCTGCTGGCTGTTGTATTGGATCACATGTCGGACACTTCCCAAGTGTCTAGGACTGTGTGATGTATCACCGAATAATGCATGCAGATCCCAGTAAGGTGGCCTTTTGCAGCTGCCAATTGTGTTTAAGTGCAGGCCAAGGTCTTTAGGCACTGCACCCAGTGTGCCAATCACCACTGGGGCCACCTTGGCTGGCTTGTGCCAGAGTCTTTGCAGTTCGATCTTTAAATCATATCGTGTCAGCTTTTCCAGTTGTTTCTCTTCAATCCTCCTGTCACCTGGGATTGTAACATCAACAATCCATACTTCGTTTTTTAACATGATTGCGAGGTCAGGAATATTGTGTTCCAAAACTCTGTCAGTCTGAATACGGAAGTCCCAGAGTAGCTTGACGTGTTCATTCTCTGTAACTTTTTCCGGCTTGTGATCCCACCAGTTCTTTGTCGCAGGCAGATGGTATTTGTGGCACAAGTTCCAATGAATCATCTGAGCAACGGTGTTATGCCTCTGCATGTAATTATTATTATTATTATTATTATTATTATTATTATTTGTTTGTTTTCACAAAGGGTGATAATTTGGGATCACAACAGTAGAAACAGAAGGAATGATACACTTAGTGCTCATCTATTTGTTCAGGCTGCTGTGATGTTATCTAAACGAGTGTGTTTAAGAGATAAAACAAATTTGTGAAGCATAGTTGACTCACAAATCTTTTCAGGTAAATGAATAGCTCAGACTCCTTTTAACTGCTTCCTAATTTTAACAAATTATTTAGCAATAGCATAATATTAGCATGGCCTTTTGTTTTTGTACTCCATGCTGCAGCTGTAACCAACCATCACTGGCATGGGTCAACAAAGGTAAACTTTAATTTCTCAATAGTTTTCCTTGTAGAAACATGTAACATTTCTGGCTTTCCCCCCTTTGTGGTGAGTCAAGGTACTTTTTTTATAACTGACATAAGAGCAGTGGTTATTACAAAAAAAGCTCTGGCAATAAGAATCAAGAATGAACATCAGATTGCAGTTCTGTTGGGGATAGAATTCAATATCTTTGGAGGAAACTGGATGAGAGGGCCAAAGAAAAGTGCTGGGGTTACTCTTCCAGCAAGAATATTTTGGATTTCTATCACTAGAACTGCAAGGGCTTAACACTTGCCTTCCCAAGTGAATTTGGACATTTGGCTTTATTTATTTATTTACCGTCTTTATATACCGCTTTTCTTAGCCTGAAGGCGACTCAGTGGGGTTTACAGACAGCACAATTCGATGCCCCCAACAACATAAAATACAATTTTAAAACATTTAGCAAATAATATAAAAACCATATAAAACCAGTAAAAACATCAATCCTCATTGTCCCATGCCATACGTATTCACTCTACTATATTTATTCAAAGGCTTTGTAAGTTGTCTTGTATTGAAGATCCTCAATATTTTTAAAAGGAAACAATCAAGTTTTAGGTGTTTGTGTATAGTTGCCATATGACATGGAAACAGTGAACTACTTAATTATACTAAATGTCTCTTTTCTTTGCAACAGATTAAGGACCCTTCATTTATATGGTTGCTGCTTTGTGCCTGATCTGGAGTCTATTAAAAAAGTCAATAAAACTGTAGAAATATTGTATGACCTACATGTCCCTGCTGCTAAGCTGTCATTGGAATGAAGAATCCTACCAAAATACAAAAGAGATGTCATAGTTACGTTAATTTTAAACTCTAGTACCTAATTACTACTCTTAACTGAATCAAATCCATGAAATCAGTGGGAAGGTGGCAAGTTGATACCTGTGTAAGTTCTATTGTTTAAATGGGTCTACTGTAGTTAGCACAAGCAATTGAATTTGGGCCTAGGATCCTTTCTCTCTTTAACTTTCATCCACATACTTAACTATTTTTGCCATTTTGAACATTTGTTAAATAGGAAAAAAACCCTTTTTAGTTTTTTAGGGGCATTGAAAGAAATATAAGCATGATTGTAAATAAGTACAGAAAGCCTCATTAAATATAATTTAAAGTGTTATCTGGACTATTTTTTTTTAAAAAAGGAAATAACATTGTAATACATATCCAGAAGTTTGAAAAATGTATAAAGCCGGCTCATCCATTAAGACTGACCAGTTAAGCCTATTCAGTGTCTCATATTGATACAACCAAATCTTGTCTGGGGAGATTTGTCCTCAACCTCTTTGTTTGCCTTTTACCAGTGTTGGCCTAAAACGCTTCCTGGATCAAGGATAAAAAAAAAAACTTTGAAAGCAATACGCACACCTATAACGTGTGTGTGTATGCTCCTACATACAACTATATGCATGCACACATATATTTTCCTGAAAAGTATGGATGCATGTTTGTTGGTTGGCTGTTCACACATGCATACCATTAAGGTTGCCATGTGAAAAATAATACAGGGTTCCTGTTACTTAAATTGTTGGGCAGAAGATGTAATTTCAGGAGTTGTTTCAGGAGTTGCTTATTACACAAACAGCTACTGAAATTCTGCATAACTAAAGGAAGAGGAGTGCTGTCTTGTTTTTCACATGGCAACCCTAACACAGACATGTGCATTTTGGGTGAATGTAGATAAAGTAATGCTTCTATATTTTAAATAAACTGGCTCTCACTGATTTCAATTTTGAGTTAGTGGGGAGGTGACCAGTCCCCATGGTGGCTCGTCAATCTTGCAGTTTAGATCTGTTACTTTTAGTGATGGTATGATCACAGACCCTGCTCATATAGCAGAAGGGAGGGTTCAGGGCGGTAAATCATCATGAGATGTTACTACATTGCAATTGTCTTAGAAAGGAACATTCCTAGGTATGCATTTGTTGGCTGTTTAATAATATCAAGTCTCCTGTTGAATATATAGTACAATTAAGGTTAAGAATCCCTTAAGCAATGGTGGCAGATTTATTTTATTTCCTGGAATTTGTCTTTTGTGCAAGACTTACTGATATTCACACAAGATGGAACAGGCCCTGCATAAAAGCAGACCTGTAGTCACATCTGGAAAGTATTTCCTTAAGAGAGCTTTCCAACTGCATCCTTGGCTGCCATGCACACCACCAGAAGTAGTCTGCCGCACACACCACCAGATGTCATGTACAATCCAATTGGTAAGTACACCCTCTGAATCCACAAGCTCCAAATCTGCAGTTTCCACCAACACATATCAGCACATCCATACATACAGTGGTGGTGATGTAAATACAAATGCACTCAAGCGTCCACACACATGTCATTGTCATTTAATAAAATGGGATGCAATCTGCTTTTTATATATTTTTGAGGGAGAAGGTCCTGAAACAAAACCCCTGTGGTCCTGGAAGGCCCACTGTACGTTAGTTGGCTTAGGACAACTGTTCCTATCTTCTGACCTCATAAAAGTGTCTCATGCATAACATAAAGACCTGAGGCTGATATTGGGATGTTTCAGTTTGGTAAAGATGAGGGAAACATAACAATTGAATTGCAGACTATTGGTGACAGTTCTTATTAGACATCACAAAATGGATGTCTTGGTTGCCTATAGTTCAAACCAAGATTTTTTTGATCCCCATTATATTTTGGGGTTCAAAAGTTGATTGTGGGATTTTAATTTATGGTGACATATGACGTAAGAAAATACATCTCAACTATTGGTTGGCTTAACATCTCTATCACAACCTGTCCACCACCAAATCCAAACAGGACACTGTGTATACTTAAAAGGATGTAACACTACAGATTTTTTTAAAACATTCATTTTAAGTATGAGCTGCGTTTAGACTGATATCTCTCTCTTTTGGCCAACAAGTGCGTAAGACGTTTCAGAAAAAAACCTTGTTTTTCTTTTATTCTGTGGGGAGGTCTGCCTTCAACGCCCACTCTTAGGGCTCATACAAATAAATCATCTTTTGTTGTATGTTTCTGATGCCAGCTGCTTGAATAGCAGGGGTGGTGCCACATAGGTGCCAAACCTACATAGGCGGAAATGCTCTCTCTGATTAATACGGCAAATGCCATCTGTTGTTGGAGGCTATGCTTTTGTGACAGCATGAAATGATGCCATGTTGGATTTTTAGAAACAAGCCAAACTAAAGACTATGAATGGAGGGCCAACATGTATGGCCTTTTCTTATAAAGTACTATGAGAGAGAATGTGAGAGCCACCGTGACATAGTGGTTTATGTAGTGGAAACCAGGATTTGAATCCCTGCTCAACCTTGGAAACCTACTGGGTGACCACTGATAAATGGCACTCTCTCAGCCTCAAGAAACCTCTGAACAAATCCTGCCAAGAAAGTCTCATGATAGGTTCACTCCAGGGTCACCATAAGTCAGGAGCAACAAACTTTCAGGGACCCACCAGATAATGATGCACTTGACGTCCAATCATCCCTTACCATTGATCATATTACCCAGAGTTAATGGGAGCTGTAGTTCTATCTGGAGGGCCATTTTGCCTGCCCTGCTGCAAAGTCTGTTTATGCCAAGAAAGATTTATTAAAGGATAGCTGCAGCAGAATTATGGTCAGAAACCAGTTCAGCAAGAGTTCACTTTCTCCAGTTACTCTTAATGAGTCCCAACCTCACAAAACCAGTGTTGCAACTAAAGGCCACTTCCTTTTTTTGACTCAGGTGATCTATTTTGAGTACAGTGTTATTGCAAGCGGAAAGGCCAAACTCTTTAAATGACAAGCACCACCCACTTACTGGGGCTTGCAAAAGTCTAGACTCAGAACAATAGCAGGTGACAAATCACTTAGAACAGGAAAAAGTTGAGATGCTTTCAGTTTTTGTCTGTATTTAGCAATACTTTCGCTAGGCAAGATTTGATACACAGTTCTACATGCAGATAAACATCTCAGAACTGATTCTTGACATGTTTGACTAAATAATTTGTTTCAGTAACATAACATATTTTCACCATAGGAGCCCCCGGGGGTGCAATGGGTTACGCCCTTGTGCCAGCAGGACTGAAAACCGACAGGTCACAGGTTTGAATCCAGGGAAAGCACAGATGAGCTCCCTCTGTCAGCTCCAGCTTCCCATGTGGGGATATGAGAGAAGTCTCCCACAAAGATGGTAAAAACATCAAAACATCCAGGCGTCCCCTGGGCAATGTCCTTGCAGATGGCCAATTCTCTCACACCAGAAGTGACTTGCAGTTTCTCAAGCCCATTCTGACACACACACACACAAATAATAAATGCAGCTTGGTGCTACTTTAACCACCATGGCTCAATGCTATGGAATTATGGGGATTGTAGGTTTAGTTAGGCACCAGCAACATTTCGCAGAGAAGGCTAAAGTCCTTGTAAACATGCCACTCTCATGATTCCATAGCATTGAGCCATGGCAGTTAAAGTGGTGTCAAACTGCATTAATTTAGATTAGGCAGGGGCAAACTTCAGGCCTACAGGTGTTTTGGACTTCAACTCCCACAATTTCATTTTTCCTCCACAACAGTCCTTTTGTGCTATGTGGTACTATCAAGTCAGTGAACAAATAATCGGAGGTGTAGGTATGCCATGGAACCAAGCAATGGTATGTACACCTTTGGAGGGATTTTCCAGGAATGACTGTAGAGGAAATACTAAGGTGGTTATTTTTATCCAAGGCAAAAGAGATAAATATTTTCCAGCCAAACACTTGCAGTCACAAAGAGAAATTGGAACAGAGGTGAGGCCTATTTAATAAACGTCTAGAAGGGTCACCCTGTTAATCCAGACCAAGCAACATGAAAAGTATTGGGCAATTTAAGGAACTTTACAATCTGGACTAGACACAATTTCATCAGCTCCACAAAGAAGACACAAAGGGTTTGTCTGTACTGTAGAATTAATGCAATTCTACAGCATTTTAACTGCTGTGATTCAATGCAATAGAATCCTGGGAGTTGTCATTTTACAAGGTCTTTCGCCTTCTGTGCCAAAGAGCGTTGGTGCCTCACCAAACTGCAGCTTTCATGATTCCATAGCATTGAACTAGTTTTAGTTCTACAGATTGTTTTACTGCACTTTAAAATAATGCATCTAAATATGTATTTTAATATTGGTAAGCTGTCTTGACATGAAGTCTAGTAGTGTCCGAGTCTGGGAGGTGGTGCTCATCTCCATTTCTAAGCTGAAGAGCCAGCGTTGTCCGTTGATGCCTCCAAAGTCATGTGGCATCTACCTTCCCACTGGAGCGGTACCTATTGATCTACTCACATGTGCATAGTTTCGAACTGTTAGGTTGGCAGAAGCTGGGGCTAACAGCAGGAGCTCACCCTGCTCCCTGGATTTGAACTGCTGACCTTTTGGTCAGCAAGTTCAGCAGCACAGCAGTTTAACCCGCTGTGCCACTGGGGGCTTGTCTTGAGTCTTAGCCTTGCAGAAAATATGGAAAATAAATGAATTTTTAGAGAGATAAAGTGAGATAAAAATTATTATAATAATAATACGTTGTCGTGGTAGTAATAGTAACAAAAGTAACAGTTATAATAACATTCTTGTAAACCTTGGAAGAGCAACATGTAATCCTTGCATGGAAGCCTTGGGTGCATCTCCACAGTAGAATTACTGCGGTTTGACCGTGCTTTAACTGCCCTGGTTCACTGCTCTGGGATCATGGGAGTTGCAGTGTCCCACCAAACTACAATTCCCAGGATTCCATGGTATTGAGCCATAGAAGTTAAAGTGGTGTCAAACTACAATAATTCATCGTTTAAAAAGCACTCATTGTGTGGAATCCTGGGATGTGCAGTTTAGGGAAGGCCGTTCTTGGGCCTCACTCAATCCTGTAACCCAGAATCGCAGGTTGGAACCTGGGGAGAGCGTGGATGAGCTCCCTCTGTCAGCTCCAGCTCCCCATGCGGGGACATGAGAGAAGCCTCCCACAAGGATGGTAAAACACCAAAACATCCGGGCGTCCCCTGGGCAGCGTCCTTGCAGAAGACCAATTCTCTCAAAGCAGAAGCGACTTGCAGTTTCTCCAGTCGCTCCTGACACGAAAAATCGAAAAGAAATACCAATTTCCCAGTTCCTTGAGGCAAAGGGAGTGAATCCTTTGTTGGGAGGTGATTAGCTCCCAACAAAGAAGCAATCAGGGCCAGCTAATCATTGTGGAAGGGGCCTGGAAGGGCCCTAAGGGAGAGAAGCGCCTCCCTCCGAGCAGGTGCCTCTTTGCTCAGGTTTGGGAGCGGGAGGAGCCGTGTGGCCGGCGCGGGGCTTTCCCAGGCGGAGGGCGGGGCGCCGGAGAGGCTGGCGGCTCCCTCGACGGCGTTCCCCTCGCCCCTTCCCTCCTTCTTGCTTCTCTCTCTCTCTCTCCGTCTCTCTGGCTGGGGATGGGCTCCCCTGAGGCGTCCCGGCTCCGCTCGCTCTTCCTGGCTTGCGACGTGAACGGCTCGGGCCGCATCGAGCGCGACGACTTCGGCTCCTTGTGCGCCGAGCTGCGGGTCCGTCCCGAGGAGGCCGAGGCCATCTTCCAGCGCCTGGACTCGGACCGCGACGGCGCCATCACCTTCCAGGAGTTCGCCCAAGGCTTCCGCGGGGCCCTGCCTGCCTCCTCGCCGCATCCCCCGCGTCGGAAGGAGCCTGGCATGGAGCAGGAGGACGACGACGCCGCTCTGGACGCTCCCTCCGAGGCCCCTGGGGCGCCCAGCCCGGCCTGGCGGGATTTCGAGCTCCGGCTCGGGGAGGAAGCCGACTACATCCCCAGGTAAGAAGCCACGGGGTTCTCTCTTAAAGGTCCCTTAATAGACACTATGCCAAGCCTGGGCCAACTTGGGCCCTCCAGGGTCTTTTGGACTTCTTCAACTCCCACAATGCGGAACAGCCTCCGGCCCCTTCCTTTCCCCCCTCAGCCGCTGAAGCTTCCAAATAGAACTCCTTCCAGGGGCGTCTACTGTGGCACCAATGTAGCCTGACACCTCTTGAACTGCCAGGGTTCAATGCTTTGGAATCCAGCGGGTGCTTTGTTAGTGAAAGTCTAGTAGTAACAAGATCACACTAGAGAATGAATCCACTTTAAATCCGGTTGCTGCCTCCTGCAGAGTTCTGGGCTTTGTAGTTTAGAGAGGAGCCTCTAACAGCCTCACTAAACTACAAACCCCAGAATTCTGCAGGAGGCAGAAACCAGATTTAAAGTGGATTCGTTCTCTAGTGCAATGAAGTAGCAGAAGAGCAGCCCTGTTTATTTCAGACTAAGGAACAAAATACATCCTAGGACAATATGGCTCCGGCCCAGCTTACTTGTCCAAAGGTAATTCCCTCTACATTCCGCCTCGTAGTTCAAGATCCACCGAGGAACCCCTGTTCTCAGTCCCACCAGACTCACAAACGCATCTGGTGGGGACGAGGGACAGGGCCTTCTTGGTGGTGACCCCCCACTTGTGGAACTCGCTCCCCAGCGAGATTAGATCAGCGTCCTCCCTCCTTTCCTTTAGAAAAAAGCTCAAATTGTGGTTTTGGAACCAGGCCTTTGGCTAGCAGGTATAACGGCACTTTGGAGACTGGACTGGACCATATAATTGTTATAATAATGGAAACTGCTATATGATTGTATAACTAATGTTATTGTTTTTAATCTAGTATGTATTTATGGTTTTATATTGTTATATTGTGAATTGTGGCATTGAATTTCTGCCAGTGTTAGCCGCTCTGAGTCATCCCTCGGAGGTTGAGAAGGGCAGGGTAGAAATGTTGTAAATAATAAATAATACAATTTAAAGAAATACAGACAGTTCCCAACCTCATAGTTAAGCATGGGGTGAGACAACAGGAAGTGAGAGAAATCTGACTCTAAGAAGGGAAATTCACTCCTGAAAGAGTTGTCATGAGGAAAAGGTGCCTCCACTGAAGCTTTATAATCAAATCTTGTTTCCACAACAAGCCAATCTCCCCCCCAAAATGCACTTCTCATAGGGACAGAAAGTGAGGGGCACAGGCAGCAAAACAAACACCTCAGAGGTGCTAACCCTTCCCTATTTCCCTGTTTGGCTGGAGCCGAGCTACACTTTAAAAACATATCTGTTCCAACTTACAAACAAATTCAACTTAAGAACAAACCTCCAGAACCCATCTTGTTCGTAACTTGGGAACTGTGGACCTCACAACTTCTGAGGATGGCTGCCATAGAGCGAAACGTCAGGAGAGAGTACTTCTGGAACATGGCCAAACAACTCCTGGAATTACATCTTCTGCCCAACCCTAACCCACCTCAACTCAACTTGGGAACTGCCTGTATAATAATAATATGATATAAAATAAACTTTATTTATACCCTGGCCAACATCTCCCCAAAGGGGACTCAGGGCGGCTAATATGAGGCCAAGCCCAGAATTACAGTACAACTAAATAAAATAAAATACAAACAGCAAGTAATAACATGAAAATAAAATACATATAATAACAGAAAATGTAATAAACAGATGCAAAATAATGTGATGAAGAAATAAAATATACAGTCTGGACAGCACACCACTTCCTCAACTGCATGGAGAAAACACAAAAGGTGCATCTACATTGTAGAATGAATCTAGTTTGACACCGCTGTGCAGTGCTGTGGGATTCTGGGAGTTGCAGTTTTGAGGTCTCTTTCGCATTCTCTTCCCACCTTGTGCTGGTGCCTTGCTAAACTACAGCTCCCCGGATCCCACAGCATGGAGCAGCAACAGTTATCAAACAGCATTTGATTCCGCAGTGTAGTGAAGCACCCCAAGAAGCCTCATCCAGGATGCCCAAGATCCTGCACCTGTTGCAAACTGGCAGTGATGAGATTTCATCTGAACTTATGCTTCCCCCTCTGAATGATAGTGGTCATTATTTATACACACACATACACCTGTACAGTCCTCCATATCCACAGTTTCTGCATCCACGTATTCAGCCATCCGTGCATGAATCCTCATTGTAGACAGCAATACAGTTTGACACCACTTTAAATGCCATGGCATAATGTTGTAGAATCCTGCAAGTTGGTGAGGAACTGGCTCCTTTTGCCAGATAGGCCAAAGAGTCCCCTACTGGGGTGAGAAAGGCAGGGTATAAATGAAGAAAAGAATGTGTAAAATGACAACTCTAAAGATTCCATAACATGGAGGCATGGCAGAGCAGATGTACTTGAAAGTATTCCCCATTTCCAATAGCAAGTTGTGATAATTTCCATTTTATGTATGAGACTATGTTTTACTATGCCATTGTATATGATGGGACTAGGCTTGAACAGGAAGAACTTTTAGAAACCCTATAGCAGTGGTTCTCAACTGGGTCCCCAGATGTTTTGGCCTTCAACTCCCAGAAATCCTACAGCTGGTAAACTGGCTGAGAGTTCTGGGAGTTGTAGGCCAAAACACCTGGGACCCACAGGTTGAGAACCACTGATCTAGAGACTCAGCAACTCCTAAAATGATTCCATCAGCACTGCCTCTGAGTCTAACTTCTTTCTGCTAAATGCCCATTAGATCTGCCAGGGAGAACCAACTAGTGTGCAACTTCAGTACAGAGGGAGCATTGATTTCTGATGTTGATTCCACACTGAAAGCCATCCTCTTTGGTTTTTGCTATTTTTTATTTGCTTTGTCCAAGGTTTCCTTCCAGGCTGTGCCACCTTTTATGCTTTATGAGTCAGTGTCTCTCAAATTCTGCTCCTCTGGATGTTTTGGACTTCAGCTCCCACAATTCCTAACAGCTGGTAAGTTGACTGGGATTTTTGGGAGCTGAAGTTCAAAACACCTGGAAGACCAGAGTTTGAGAATCACTACTCTGAGTTATGGCATGGCAACAAGCTTGTGGAAGTATCATAGGTTAGACAAAGAGGTCGAATCTGAGTGGGTTCTTTGAATTTGTTGCTCTTACTCAGCATTGTGTTCTACACTTCTTCTGAGATCAAGAAAAGATGGGATACATTGTTGTATGCCTTCAAGTTTCCTGACATAGGGCAGCACTAAGGTTTTCTTGGCAACATTTGTTGAAAGGGGGTTTGTCCCTGTCTTCCTCTAAGGCTGTGACTTGCCCAGGCTTACCCCAGTGGGTTTCCATGGCTGAGCATGGATCTGAACACTGGTCTCCCAGTGTCCTAGTCCAACATTCAGACCACTTTTCTGGCTCTCTCAAAAAAAGCAAACAGATCTTACAGTTAAATAAACAAACAGATGGTAGTAATAACCCACCCCTTGCATCTACTTATTGTCCATCCCAAATTTGTTTTGATGCCTTAAGAGCAATCATTTCCTTTCTTTTCTCCCTCCCCCTTCAGTGTTTGCGATATTTATTACATAACCAAAGCTTAACATCTATAGGTGGAGTAACCTATAGCAGTGTAAAGATATATGATGGTGGTGATAGGTGGGTGACAATAAATAATCATTGTAGCTCCTCAGAAATTATTTATCTGGAGCAAAGCATACAATCAGTCTTTTTCTCTCCAAACTTGCAAAGTGCCACGTGGCTTTTGGTCTTCCTTCGTTTTCTCTTTAGTTTTTGTTGCCTCTGGCAAACCTGGCTTCTCAGGTTTCAGCTCTGACTGTTTGGGAAGAATTTCTTTTCTTCAACTCCAAGTCACGAATTAGTTCAAAACATCTCAGATCTGGGAAAAAAGTACATGATATGTTAAAATGGGGCCTCTTCCCCCCCCCTCCCCCGGTCACCCGTCCCTATGTTTGGTAGAGACAGGTGTTGCTTTGCTCTCCGATAAAACACACACACAAACGAACAAATAAGTCAGGTGATATCTTTTTGAAAACAGGTTCCTGTTTAGTCACGGACTTTCGGGTTTATATAAGGGACACATTTTCCCTCCCCTTTCTAAAGGAGGGGCAAAAAGGGTAGCTATTATTTGATTATTTGAAGCCAGTCTTTAAGTTCATACTTCTACCGCATTGTGGCTATTTTGGAAATACTCTCTGCCCATGAGATCTGTATCTGGGCTTGCAGTTGAGAGCACTCTGTGCTTAGATGATTAGCTTTGGCACATGAGGTTCCCCTCTGAATGAATTCTGCCAAGAAAACCCTGTGATAGGTTCCCCTAAAGACCACCATAAGTTAGAAATGGCTTGAAGGCACACAATGACAAGCCCTATATACCAGAATTGAATGTCACGTAACCATACAAATTGTGTTGACTGCATCTTCCAGCATTTGTCACTGTTATTGATTCTGCCTGGGACTCATGGGAGTTGCTGTTCTGCTCTAGAGTTTCTCTTACTAATGCACTTCTAATTTATATTCTGAGAAACAGATCCAATTGAGCAGTGGGACATTCAGCCTGTATACCACCTGCCAGTAGAGCCAGGAGTCATACTGAAGAGAGATTCTGGGAGCTGTAACCTAAGAAAAATCACAATATCTCTCTTTGCATACTTGTTAAGTAGAGGTGAATAGGATTGGGTTGTTAATGTATTAAAAGAGAGCAAAGAACCTATGTTACTGTCTGAAGGCCACATTCCTCACAATCTCTCAGGGATTATGTACAGAGGGTAGGTTAGACATAAACTAAAAGTAGAAAGACCCTTTTGCCCTTTCAACTTCCTCCTTTCTCAGAGGGTTGCCAACAGAAGGATGGGTCTTTTTTTGCCAGATATCTAAACTGAATGTTTGCAGAGGGCTTTTGAAAGTTGAGGTTGTTCGCCATACTGTTGACAGCACATGAATGTCTCCTTGGAGAAGGAATTTATGTTCCATGTCTGTAATCTCATGAAGTAACAGGTTATCCAGTGATGT